AAACGACAACCGTAAATCTGCGGTATTTTTCATGTGGTCATGGGGCAGGCAACAACAAAAACAACAAGAAGAAGAACAACAACAATGGTCAGTGGCAGCCGCCTCTGGGCTAAGTTGGTAAGCTGGAAGCTGAAAGCTGTAAACTGTAAGCTGGCCGAAAGGGCCGGCTTGAACTTTGGCATTGGCGTTGCGGACTCTTTAATGTGGGCAGGACATGGCCTTAAAGAGACATAGCAGCAACAACAGTAACTGCTGGCCAAGAAAATATCTTTGGCAGCCTTTTCTGTTGGTTAGATTGGAGCTGAGAGTCGCAACTGAAGCTGGTCACATGCGTGTTTGAACCTTCTGGCCAAGTGGTCGTTAGGGCCAACAACAAATAAATGACAATCACAAAAACAACAGTAAAGGGGCCGAGCATTTTGGTGTTTTATTTATATGTATTCTTATATTTATATTAATTTGCTGGGCTTGGGCCCCGAAGCGAAGTTTATTTAAGTGTAATCACAATTGGCCATGACACACAGGCACACACACATGCCGATGTGTGAGTGTCAGTGTGTGTGTGCATAGCATTTAAATGTGCCCCAACGAGAACAATAAACAAATGGCCAACAACGCCTTTTCTAGCAAAAATTTAGGCGACAATCGTTTCGTGTACAGGACTCTATATAAATGGGGTCTTATCATTTTTACAGTCAAGTAGCCGAGAAATGCCCAAAAAAAAGATTTTGATATCATGTTTATGTGCCTGCCAACATAACATCGCTGAAGGACATTTGCTTAAAGCTGTAAACTGTTTAGAGCGAGGCTTATTGCAAGCTTATTTTATTTGTAAAAGTGCTTAGGTCTGATATGTCACGATGTGACGCAAATAAATAAAATAAATACTAAAAGAAGAGCTTTTAACACATAATTTAATTCAAGTGTGGGTAATAGCCAGAAAGAAGAATAACTTCTAAGCTTCAGCTGTAATTGAGCTTATTGGGAATTGCCCTAAAGATTAAGAAAACACTTAAAGCTTTAATCCCTTTTAAAAGCTCCTTAGTTTAGTCTGAGTAGAGGGGAACTTTTAAGTTTTTAGTAGTAGCTGAGCATATTGTAATTTGCCTTACACATTGCAAAGCACCTACAACTTAAATGTGCTTTCGAAAGCTTTAAGCGGAGCTTTTATCAATATAAGATGCATCAATTTTAATTGCTAAATTTCTTTAACTCTTTCGTTCTTCCTTACCCATTCTCGCTCTCACTCTCTATCTCACTCTCTCACTCACTCTATCTCTCACTCTCTCCCTCACTCTCTCTCTCTGTCTGTCTCTCTCTCTCTCTCTCTCTCTCTCCCTCCTCTTACTTTCCCTTTACCTTTAAAAGAGTTTGACATAGTATTTGGTTTTGTACTTATAACAACAACGTTTTACTTCTATATGCAGCACAATTTATTCCAAAAGTTTTATTCCTCTTCATTTTTGCGCCTTTGTTATTTCTTATCATTGTGCCTTATCACTTGCTCTCTCTAGTTTACTTAGCTTTTCTCACTCTAACTCTCCCTGTCTCTTGCTCTCGCTCTCATTCTCTCTCACTCTCACGCTATTCCTCTCTTACTCGCTTACTTCCTTTCATAGCCCGTTTCTCCGTCTCCGACTGCAGCAAAATTGTTGTCATATAAATTATGTAGTTTTTGTTGCCGTTCTTCTTCTACGTATTTTTATTGTTTAACACCCATCAAACAGTTTAATTTATACGACTAGCCACAAATTCACGCTCGGAACTGCGTCAGTTTTTTATTGTATCATATGTTTTTCTTCTTCTTTTTTCTTCTTGCCTTTTATATGAATCACGCTTGAATTTACGCTAAAGTTTCTCGTTTTGCCTCATTTGGCTATGCGGCGTATACGCAATTTGCAAAGTTAAACCATTTTGACCGTTTTTACACGCATTTTCCGACGGCGTTTGCGTTTTTGCGCGTTGCATTTGCGGTGTTAAGTGAAAAATCCGTTGCACGTAATTAACGCAATTAAAATCAAAACATTAATGACCTGCGCTCGGCTCCAGAACGTCGACGCTGGCGTCGGCGCCGCCGTAAGCGTTGGCGTCAACGGGAACGGTGACGGTGACGGCGACCGCTACGTTGACGCTAAGGCGCCGCCACAACACACGCACACACACACAGCAGCAGCTGCGGCGATGGCGATGGCGGCAGCGGCAGCTCTCAGCGGCGGCGACAGCGACGTTGACGCTGTAAACAATTTGACCAAAAAAAAAAATTTCAAAGTAAAATCAAACCAAAATATTCTCGCACAGCTGCTTAATGTTGTTTAATAGCGCAGTGCATGTGTGTGCGAGACAGTGTGTGTGTGTGTAAAGTACAATAAAGCATGCCTACTTTTTGGGGCATCAGAGGCCAAAAAATAAAACGACAACAAAAGAGAAGCCACACACAAACGCAGCCATTTTGTGGCTGAGCACAGGGCAAACATTTTTGCGCTGCCAGCGTCGGCAGCGACGCCGCTGCGCAGACGCCAGAACGCTGCGCCCCTGCAGCGTGTGCAAGTGCGCAGCTGCCAGGAGAAAGCTGGCAGCAACTCGCTCGCTCGCCGACTCGCCGTGTCGCCGTCTTTCGCTCGCTCTCTCTCTCTCTCTGTCTCACTCTCTCTCTCTCTCTTTGTCTGTTGTGGAGTAATGCTCTCAGTCGCAGTCGCAGTCGCTGTTTTCCCCTCGCAACAGCGAGCAGCGGCAGCAAAAATGGTCGCGTTGAAATATTTAACGCCGCTAAGTATGCTACGAAAATATATCCCAAAAGCCACTGCCAACAACAACAACAACAACAACAGCACACAGCCAACAACAATTGCTGTAAAATTTAAAATTATTGCAATAACACGAAAAACAAAGATGATGAAAATGAAAATATTTTGCGGCAGCGAAGGAAACGCGAGGCGTTGCTGCGTGTGACAGCAGTCACCGGCTCTGCCTGTGTGTGTGTTGGAGAGTGAGTGTGCGTTTGTGTGTGTGCAGCATTTAAAGCTTTAATTGGCCCCCATAATTATGTAGCTCTGCAGCAGCAACAACAAAAACAACATCAAGCATTAAAGCATAACCTTTAAACGACAGCCGCGGCACTTGAGCTGCTGCTTTAAGCCATGTTTGGATTCCCGTTCGCTTTGCAGTCAATTTGAAGGCGTTAAGCGGGCAAGTTGCGCCCCCTTTAAAAGGCACAGAAAAGTGGAAAATGATTGCCACACAGTTCAAGGGAAAGCTGTGGGAGCAGCAAGCATGCAGCTTGGGAAGGGGTAAAGATACAAACGGGCGCAAAGAAGCTGCGCCTATTTAAAGGTTAAACAAGGCAAACTGGCAATTTATTAATTTAAAAGTGTGAAACTGAAGCTTAATAAACTTCCCATCAATGTCACAACAGTTAACAACTAGTTTTACGCCAACCGACTAGCTAATTAGGCGACCTAATGAGCCTGAAAGTATAAAAAGTCCTTTGCTGGAATTTGGCTTTTAAGGGTTTGGTTGGAGGTTTCATATGCCAGCATTGACTTATCAACGGTTCATTTATATAATTCATATTAATCAATTTCATCTCTGCCTCTCAGCATAACACAAAGCTTAAGCTACCAGTGTTAGTTAATTATATATTTTTTATATAAAAAACTACATAGACTAGCAACAAAAAAAACTCATCTGAAATAAAAATGGCATTTGAAGTGCAGCAAGGCTATTTTGTTGCCTGTGTAAGCCCTAGTTTTGAGTAATGGCTTCAAAAACTAAACAATGTTTATGTTTTAGTGTTGTCAAGCGACAAAGGCGCATTATCTTTGTTAATTAACGTCAAATGCTAACAATAAAAAAAAAAGCAAAAAGTACTTTTTATTGAAATATTTTGCAAACAAAATAAGTTGTACTGCAAGTGTTGTAGAACAACCCAAGCACATTAGTTAAGCAAACAAACGTCACATTATTTTTTAAATTGTGTCTGTCGTCAGTGTTGCATAACAAAAAAAAATTAGTTTACTCATGTGTGGGTAAAAGCTACCATAAGTCAAGCATTTGTTTATTTTGCTTATAAAAACTTTCAAAGGGCTAAATTTTATTTGTTTAACACTGTTTAATTGTTTCATATTACTTGGCTATATCCAAATAAAAGTATGCAATATATATATACAATAAATCTAAAATATATCCAAAAGAAAACCAATTTCGTGAAAGAAAACATAAATAATATAGATATAATTTCTGTTAAGACACATCGTTGAGGGGCGCTTTTAATGTATATGTGTCTGTGTGAGTGTGTTTGTGTGTGTGTGGCTTGCGTGTTGTGTAAATATTTGCCAAGCATTTAGCTCTGAAGTTGCAAACGCCCAAACGTTGACTAAAAATATCAATATATAAAATAAAATAAAAATAACTCAACAGCAACGAAGCGCATTAACAGCAGCAACAACAACAACAATAACAATGTTGCCGCACTAATATCAAGAATTAGAATAACAAGCTAAAAGTTATTCCCACGATAATTTGAATGGCAAATATTTCTATATCAAACTGTAAACAATTAGTACAAACAAATGCAGCGCACAGCGCGGCCAAAAATTAAAATATTTGCCCAAAGCATCAACAACAACCAAAAACAGCAGCAGCAAAAACAACAGCAGCAACAGCAGCAAAAACTATTGCTTTGCAAATTGAGCCTAAATATACCCAAAGCGTCAAAAGCAGCCCAGTTTTAGCTAACAGCATTCCAGCCCAGTCTCTCGTGCGTTCGCTTAGTCAGAAATGTGTTTTGTTCTATACGTACAACGCGTCGTATGCGTAATTTTGTATTTATTGCTGATATCATTAGAGCGAGGCGTGCGACCCTTTAAAAAACAATAGCCAAGGATTGCAGCTGGTTTGCGGGGCATACTCGACCAGACCCAACCTGCCTGCTGGCGCAATTAGCATAGATGAGCCCCCAGCGAACGGAAGAGATTTACGATTTTTGGCAGTGCTTCACTTACCGCTCAGCGAATTGTGGCCGCAGGATGGCGCCTTGCCCAGCAGATAGTCGTCCTTGCAGATAAACTTATTGTCATCCAGCACGTACAGCTGCTCGCCGGTGCTCAGCTGCTTGCGGCAAATGCAGCATGTGAAGCAGTTCAAATGGAACACCTTGTCCCTCGGCTTGCGCACCAGGTCCGAGGGGGCAATGCCCTGACCGCAGCCGCTGCATTTGGTGCCGTAACGTCTAAGCAAAAATAAAATATATATATAAATAGTTAATAGATTTTCTTATAAGTTGAATTGTATGCTGTTTGAAAATGTGTAAAAAAATAAAACGAAGCTAGCTGCCAAACCAAATCTGAATGTATATAGTACATATGATAAGTTAAGATCACGAAGCGAGCTCTAGGGCGAGGCATTGGTTCGAGCCAGACCTGCGATCGTTCTCATGGGATAAATGTAGTACCCAGCGGACTTCAAGCCTAAACTTGGTTCAGTTTTATTGTCGAAGAGCCTGCTCAGAATAGATTTAAATGAAATCGCCCCCAGGCTCAATTGTAAATGCCTTTGCTTGGGGCCTTTCAGTCTGCGGTTGGGCAGACTTGAGTTGCGGCCAGTCTTGGCTATTTTTGTTGTTGATTGGCTGGCCAAGTGTCGGGAGTTAGCCATTTGCCCATTTGGCCCATTGTCCATTGCCCTTTGTCAGCTGTCAGTTGTCCAGTTGTCCAGTTGACCAGTTGTCCAGTTGCCAATTGCCAGCTGGCAGTTGGCAGTTGGCAGCTGCATTTGATTTAATTTGATTTGATTTGTGCAGGTGTTTTGCATGTTAATTGATTTCGCTTCTCGTTTCTATTTTATTTTTTCTCTTTTTTTTTTCATTTTCAATTAGAAAATTTTCTATGCAAAGTGAAATCAAATGGAAGCGCACAAAGGACACTCGAGCCAAGCAAAGGGCCCAAGCCAAGTGCAGAGAGTCGAGTTAACATTCAATACTTGACTTTTATTCTTCGGGTTAATTGCTCTGCACTTGCTTTGCTGATTGATTGGTTCGAGCTTTGATTTGACTGCCCATTAGCAAAGCTATTACCATTGCCCACGCCTCAAACTCGGACATTTAGCCGTCACTCACCTGAAGAAATCGTTGCGACAATACAGCTTGGACTCGCGGCTGAAGCATTTGTCCGTCAGCGGCTGCAGGCATTCACAGCATCTCACACAGGACGCGTGCCAGGCTCGCTCCAGCACGTTTAGCAGAAATTTGTCCAATATGGGTTTATTGCAACCGGCACAAGGATCGCCAACGCCGACCGGCGGCTCGCTGCGACCTGCATACCAAGGAGAAATGACACGAAAGAAATTAAAATTTATATAGAAATTATTTTGAGTATGAATAAGAGATTTGCGCTAATTTACAAGGCGATATACTGCTGACTCTCAGTTTATGACGTATGTTTTATGACGTATGTTTCATTCTTTTCGGATAAATTCACATCGTTGGGTGGAAGAGCCAAAAAAAAACTTAGCCCGAGAAGGTTGTAAGTCCTTCAAAGTTTCATGAAAAATGGAAGCATATCACGCTTATTATTATTAATAAAAGAATATATAAATAATAATAATAATACTAATAAAAAATATAGTATCTTCTGCTTGATTACAAAAAAACTTTGTTAAATAAATGAAAGAATGTATTTACAGGAACAGGTTTTTTTCCCACTTCAGCTTTCAAATGCATACTTCATAATATCAACTTAATTGTATAGTAAAAAGTTGCATTTTTTTGGGCCAGGTAATTGCAAAAGGTATTTCAGTCCATTAAGGAACTGTTAACAGGTGTTGCCATTGCTTTGGCCGACGCTTTAAAATGCCAGCAACGAAATAAGCATGAAGTGAAAAACGGAACTCGAATGCTTTTGTTGACCTTTGTTATTATGTGGTCTCGACTGTTGTGCGCCAAAATCCTTTGAGGCGCAAATTAGCACCTCGCCGGTGCCTCAAGTAGGGAGCAGGCACGCAGGAGGCGGGGGAGGGGGGTGCTCATTAAGTTTTCACACGCGTGTGTGTGTCTGTGTGTGTGTGTGTGTGTGGATGATCAAATGAGCAATGCTTGCCTGGGCGCAAACATTTGACGTGCACTGTGCACGCAACACATAGTTTACAAATGCACAAATTTACAAATGCACAAACTGTGAGGGGGAGAAGAGGTGGTAGGCATTGGTGTGGGTGGAGACGGGCAGGTGGTGGTTTATTCTACACCTGAAAACTTAGACAAATTTGGCAAACGCATACAGTGGCAACACCCGAGGGCTGCCCACTCATTTGCACCTTTTTCAAATTGAGTGTCCGACTGAGTGGCATATTTGCGCACAAGTGAATAACTTTGAATTGTGAATGGCAAGGCTGAAGCTGAATCTGAAGCTGAGGCTCGATTCCACCCTGCGGCCAGTTGGGGCTGCCTTGGTTGAGCTGGGCGTGGCGCACACCCCGATAACTGCAACCGTATAATGATAGACGCCAAGCACGGCCCGGGGGCTGATTCCACTCGCCAAGTGGAGAGCGAGAGACCATAGTTCACAGTCTTCTTTGCCCTAACCGCAATGCCAGCCTCTTGCTGCGCTGCCTGTTTGGCTCTCCTTTTGATGCTGCTGCTGCTGCTACCTCAGTCAATCAGTCAATGGGCAAAAGGCAAAATGATGTGGCTGTGGCAGAGGCAGAGGCAGAGACAGAGGCAGCGGGCACTCTGCGTTTGGCCAAAAATGCAAAGAAAAAAGTTGTTGCACCCGCGGGGCATATTTAAGCAGGGACCACAGCTAATATATGTATAAGCGGGGGCGTGGTCCAGCATCAGCTTCACATTCAGGTAAAAGACCGGCCAGACGGTCCGTTCGCCTGTCTGGCTGTGTGAGCGTGTGTGTGTGTGTGTGTGTGTGTGTGAAATTTATTTTCATTCAAAAAGTTTTGCACTTTATATGCTCAAGCAGACGAAATGAGTCGAGTCCAGTCAAGTCAAGAGTGCAAAGGGTTGACAAGGCGAGGGTAGCGCTGGGGAGCGCAGGGCGGGTCCATGTCCTCACATCCTGGCTAAGCCTGCCCAGAAGCAGCTTCAAGCGAGCGCATTAATAATGCTATTAAAGACAAGTTTCGCGTTGCTCATACGCCCCGAGTGTCAGTAGCCAAAATGAATGAATGAATGAATCGCTGAGCGAGCGAGTGAGCGAGTGAGTGAGTAAGTGAGTGAATGTATGGACAAATGATGGAATGAACAAGCTGACAAACGGACAGCCTGCGCTCTCCATTATAAATGAGCGACTGACACACTGATTGATTGACGAATTGACTCATTTTGCGGCCAAAGAGCGAGCGAACCACAAGCCGAAAGCCAACAACAGCAGCGCAAAGGTGCAGTTGGAGCTGCCGAGCGGGGCAAAGCAGGCGGGATTCAGGGAGCGGGATGAGGATGGGGATGGGATTGGGAATGGTTGCTGTTGGATAGCAGACCTCGCATATGTCAAAATTGACGGATGTTATCAATCATTTTATGCCGCTGCAGACAATTTTTAATGAAGGTTATAGACGTTTATAGACAGACAGACAATCGGACCGACATTTGCTGCTGCAGTCCAAAAAGGCTCTGGCAGCACAGGTTAAACGGTTGCCTCACTACATCATCATCTTCATCATCTCACTGCGCTGCTTTCAGCCGTATTTGTTGTTGCTGTAGTTGTTGTTGTTGTTGTGGTTGTTGTTCTGTGGGGCGTCTACACTGGCTGGCAAAGTTTGCAAAACGTAAATGGAACAGCAGCTGTTTCAAAAAATTTCTCTCAACGAGCTTCGATAAGACAAGTTCTTGGAATAAACTTTTTTTTCTTTTCGGGCAAGCAGTGCGGGAGTTGGCTCGAGTATTTTTTTTAAATCTGCTGTAAGCTTTGCACTTGCCAGCCTTCTATGCGATTCTCAATTGTATTACTAGCTCACATCGGCAATATTTAGAGATGAATATTTAGAGATTATGGATTTGCAAAGTGCTCGTAAATTTAAAAAACTTTTAGGTATCGTCTAACTGCTTGCAATCTTTTAGATTTTTGTATATAATGTAAAGTCCTAATGAGTTGGGGAAGCTAAATATGCAACCATTTCGATCCAAAGTTTTAGTTTAAGGTAATATTTTAAGGGATGAGCTCAGCTGCCAAAGCTTTATAAATCGTTCTGAGCTTTATATTGATTGAGCTTCTCTATATAGATAAGCTTCTCTAGATATGAGTTTCTTGGCAGAGCATTTGCAGTTCGTTGCTGTTTGCTGTCGTTGTTTCGCCTGCTGGTCGCCGTTGCTGGTTGTCGGTTGTCGTCTTTGTCGCTGCCTTCGTTGCTTCTGGCGCGTTTTTAAAACGCGACAAATTGTTGTTTGCAGACGCCGCCGATGTTGCTCAAGTTGCCGTTGCTGTTGTTGTTGTTGTTGCCGTTTAAGTGTCGCAATTTAAATATTGTTGAGTGCACTTTTGGCTACCGTTGGCCATTTATTTTGTGCTGAAATTTATGTAACGATGTGGAAAAATTGCCGCTACTGCAGAGCGCGCCGGGCGGTGTAGGGCACAGCTCTAGGCGACAGAGCGAGCGGCCAAAATTTACTGTCAACAAAATGATTTGGCATCCTGCTCGCACAACCACACGTTCTGCCTCTTCTTGCCGCCCTCTCTTTCCCTCTTTCTCACTGTCTCTCTGTCGGTCGCAATCGCAATCGCAAGTTCATGGATCTGTTTTGGCCACTGTGCAGCCATTGACCGCTGGCAAGGAGAACGAAGCACGTACAAAGCATTTTGCACAACATTTTCCGCGCTCAACAAACGCCAATAATTGTGTGTCCAGGCAGCAGACTCGACTCCCAGAACCATACAGGCTAGCTGCATTTATAATGCAGCAGCAGCAGCAGCAGCAACGGCAGCAGCAGCTTCTTCATGGCTCGCTGGGTCGGGCAGGGCAACACCCAAAAGGCCAGCCCCAAAACACAGCAAGAGGCAACCATGGATGGACGATAGCAGCAACAGCAGCAGCAGCAGCAGCTGCCTGACCAAAACAATATAAATACACAATAGCAACAACAACAACAGCAACAACAACAAGCAGCAACTTTTTGCTCAGCTTCGCTGCGGACTGTGAAAAATTCATTCGACATCAGCGCAAAAAAATCAGCTTCAGCTTTTGTTGCAACTCTGGCCAAAAAGCACTTGTGCTGCCAGTTGCCTGCTGCGCCATGTTGGTTACGCCTATAGTATAAATCTCCACCCAAGCAACCCACCCAAAGCCCCCGCCCTGCCCTGCTCTCCACGGCCAACATTTCCTTGCCCACTTATAAAACGTGACTAAAATGTTAAAGCCACAAGAAAGAAAATCCAAACCAGCAGCCGTCGCTCAATCGCAATCATTTTCTTTCTTTTTTTTTGGTTTTCTTTTTTCTTTCCTTTTTCGACAGCAAATCTTATGCAAAAATCCAAATGGAAATGCAGGCGCACACCAAAAAAAAAAGTAAAATAAAATAATAAAACAGAGAAACGAAAGCAAAGCAGAAAAGTGAAAGATGTGGCGGGCAGCGGCAGTACCAGTAGCATTTGCCAGTTATATGCGGCGTATGCGTAATACCATTTGCCAGGCAGCTGCGAACTACATTTGGCTAGTGTTGGAAAGTGACATTTTCTCTTTTTCGGTTTAGTTTTTTGGCCATTTGCAAATGCTAATGAGACTCCCAAGACGCTAAACATACATTTTACCAAAGAACGCAAATGCAGCTCTAACAAAACGAAAAAAAAGAAGGATTAGCAAGCGGCTTTAATCAGAGAGTTTGTGCAGCTTGAGAAGCGCATAGAAGAGCAGAGCCGGTGCAAGCAGTTACTTTGATAAGCTTTGCATTAACTCAAACACAAAGCATAGAAAATCCTAAAGATACCAGAGCGAACGCTAAAAAGCTTAGTAAATCTGAAGGTGCGAAGCGTTCAGTTTGAGCAATGCGAAGTAAGTTTGAGAAGCGCATAGAAGAACTGCTTGTGCAGTTGTAGAATATTAGTATTTAGATAGCTCTACAGCCAGCAAAATAAGACGTGAAAAATGAAATTTGGCAGTTGCGCATGTACTTTGCTTAGCAATGAGCCGACTTTTAAACTGAGAAGCGAATAGAAGAGTCGCGCCCATTTTTCATGTGTGCTAATATGATTGCACTCTTTTGTAAAAAATGAAAATGAAGAATAGCCATGCTTAAATGAAATCGCTTTATTAAGCACCTACGAAACTTTAAGCTTTCAAATATAATTTTAATTTATGCACACTACTTCCACATATA